GGCTCTTCTGCTGGTTTGTTGATGATTTATGTTTGGGGATGAGCTCCAGGTCAAAGGACCCCGTACTCCCGGAGAACCCCTGAGGGTTGCGGTCGAACTCCTTCTCCAAGTCCACAAAACTTGTCGACCGGTTGGTTGAACACCGACGCGCCCTCCAGGACCCTGCTGAGCGTGTAGAGCTGGTCCAGCATGAAAAGCACACCTGAATATCCGAACCTCCGAGAGGACAACCTGACGTTTTCAGTTGATTTGAGGAGCGTGTCAAACTCCATCCGGATTTTTGAGAGTGTCTTTCTTCTTGAAGTCACGTTCTGCTTCAACTCTTACTGAATCATTATACTTTTTCACTTTCTGGAACTTCCTGTTGACGCTCTCTTCCAATTACTGTCAAATTGAAAGTGGTCAGAGAAATTAGTCCCTTTGAAGTCCAGTTGTCTTGGCGTCTCATTTTCTGCCTTCACTCTGTCCAGCTCTTGGCATTTCACACTCACCGATGCCTCTGCTTTTCCTGTGTTTGCCTTAAGTGTCTGTTTTAGGGACACACTGGACATCTGCAAGGCATTGATTGCAATTTTCAGCCGTTGCCGATCATGTGACTCGAGAGATGTGGAAAAGTGTTTCTGTTGTGAAGTAAACCAATTTTGATACGTCTAAATGAACCCACCTCATCCTAACATCAAAGGTTTTTTTCAGAAACGAGACGTTTTTTAAAATTGCCGTCGTGCCATTAACCAAACTTTTTTTCCAAATGTGAAAATTCAATGGAATTGTACAGTCCATTGAAGCGCAGCTGGTGTGAGTGCATATATTTGAATTTGTCTGAATTCGAGGATGATCTGCCTTCAATCAAACCTCTGCATCCGACTCTTGATTTTAAAACGCCACAGTCCGTTTCCAGCTCCTCTGTGTTTTGTCTCCCATTTGAGAAGCGCTTCGGTTCAGTGAAGACCTGTGTGGCGAGTTTGCGCTGCAGTGCGCCCCCGTGCTGTCAAGAAACAAAACAAGGCAGCTGTTTTTATCCACAAGTGAGCGCAGCGGTATTGAGTGCAGAGGCTCCCTAAAATAAACAGCCTATCTGTGCAGGCCTGGGGCGGGGTCAGGGTCACACTGCATGGCGCTCACACATCCCAAACACAGCCCCTCACTCCCGCACCGGCTGAGAACAGAGCAGTCACTGTGAGATGGACTGGGATGGAGTTTCTTTTAACATATTTTTGATGAGAGAAGCTTTAAAATCCACTCCCGACATCAAAACCTCAACACGTTTTGTAATGCCGCATCTGCAAACTGCCGTGTATTTTCAGGAGATTTCATATGATAAACCATCTCATTGTCCAGTTGAAGCAAAAGAATAAAAAGTTCAAAAAATTTTTTGAAACGGTTTTATAAATTACAATCTGAAAAGTGTGGGATGCATTTGAATTCAGTGAAACTGCTCAGTCCTTTCCCTGTTTGTACAACCAGAGAGGCATTTTTAGTTGCAAAATGTCTCATGCGCAATCGGATTGGATAGAAAATGTCTGTGAACATCAGATTTCAAGTCTTGCCACAATTTGTCTGTTGGATTTACCTCTGGACTTTGACTGGGCCAGTGAAACACTTGAAGTCATTCTGAGCTGAAGTATTCCATCGTATTTCAGGCTTTATTTTCATGCCGACAGGTTTTCTTACCAATGTTCCTGGTGTCCAGCTCCATCCATAACCAGTTTCCCTGTCCCAGAAAAAGATAAGCAGGCCCTCAGCATAATGCCGCCGCCTACACCACGTCCTGTGCAGAGCTACTTCTTCTGCAACAGTGTTTGTGTTTGTTTTTTATGTGACCAGATGACCTCCTGGATCACACCCACAAAATCCAATAAGTAGCAAATAAGTTGAGGTTACAAATATTGAAGTGTATCAACAATGGTCCCCATAAAAATAAACTAATGTGAAATACTTTTTAAATGTGCTGTATATAAAAATCAAGATTTGTGTGTATTATTTACTCGTATGGGGAGCAAAGACGAACGTTGTGCTTGGATCTTATTTCGCAGGTCAGAGTGTATATGCGATCGCATAGCTCAGTAGATTAGAGCAACAACCAGCCAGTAATCTTCAAGGCAAAGTCCCTGCAATAAAAGAACGAAATGAATGGTGATAAAACGCCACAACACTTGGGTTTGCGTAGCTTGCCAATAGCATTTAGTGGTTTAAAAACGCACTCTGAGTCAACCTGTAATGAAAAGGTCATCCAAACACACCTTTATACGTCGAAGTCTGCACAACCCCTCCTAAAATTCCTGGTTTTTGTATTGTAGTAAAATGAATAAATATTTTAAAAGATTTTTCACAAGATGATTTGACTTCTATCCCATACCTTTCAAATAAGAAACAAACAAGTCTGTTAGGAAAAATTTAAGGCATATCTGAACCTGAAAAAAAGCAGCAGTCCAGCCTTCCAGTGAAAGTAAAAGATTGCTTTGCCAGGTCTGTACTTCAAAGTATTTTACACAAAGTAAAATAACTTGGCCAATTCGTTAATGCGCTATCCCACTTGATTCAAATCTTGCTTACAGCACAATTTGGGCTTTCTTCCATCGACTTGGATTGTCTGGTAGAATTTCTACTGGGCCAATCAAAGAAAAGAAGAAGTTGTGAACAATGACGTTGTTTTCTAGGCTGTTTTAAAATTGTATTCTGCCTGTAGTTTTAGCGATGGCAGCGGAGCGAGCGGGCAACGCCATTCAGTCCAGGTTGGCCACGCTCCCAAATATTGACTTGATATTGAATTAATGTCAATGAGTTGCCTCGTTTGGTGCGGCACTCCTCTCTTCGCAGTGGAGGATGATTGTTTCCAGCGCAGGCTCTCTATCTGCTATTATAAATAATCCCGCTGTTCGCTCTGAACCAGCAGCTCCAGCAGGAGAAAAGCTGTCGTACTCCAAGCATCACGTCAGCCATTTTAAAGACCATTTTAAGGATGCTCATTGTCCCCCGAAAAATGACAAAAACCTGGACATCATCATGAATCAATAAACTCTTCCCAGGCCGAACTTGAAAATTGGATCTTATGCTACTAACACTTAGCTGTCGTCAACAACTCAGATGGAAGTGAGCGCGCCGCGCAACACAAGAAACGACCCAACCGGAACACGGTGCATTGAATAAAACATAATTTAATGACACTTCCAGGCAGATGAATTTTCCTCCAGGAATTTTTAATAATCGGGGAATCACTCCAGGAATCGTTTCTGCCCTGCGTCCTTGTTTCATTTTTATCACCAGGGCTTTTAATTTTATGGAGTTTTGCTCAGTTTTACACCCTTTCAGCTTCATTTATGTATTGCGTTTATAAGTAAAACATTCAATCTGTGACACTGACACAAGTATGTGGCGTATGTCTTACGCGTCGTACAATGAAAACGTTTGCTTCTGGTAAAAAAGGCAGAGTTTGTAAACCTATTCTCCATGTTGCTTTGCTGCCATAAAAGTATATTTAGTACTTAATTACATGGCAGCTAACTACAGATTCTAAAAGTGATTGCAGTAAGGAGACTTTAATAGCTTTGTGGCTTTTCTTCTAAACTTTAATTACAGCCAGAGTAGGTATTGTTTTGAAAGGATCGTTCTTCATCTTGCTGTAATGAAAACTTGTAGGTGGGAGGAGAGGATAAAGCGGGACTTTAAATCTTCCTAAATCTCCGGACTGAGGAAGGAGGCTTTCCCTCACAGGGATAGGAGGTCTCTGAGGGCGGGAGGCCGCTGCACGTGTGTGGCTCTCCGCTGGCCACCGTTCGAAGGGACAGCTGTGTAGTCCCAGCGGTGTTTGGCCCCGAGCCTGGAGACGGCAGCTGCCATAAGCAAACAAAGCTGAAAGCGACACCGGCCTCGGTCCCCCGTGTCCTTTCAAGGTGGCGCGGAGAGACCGGCGACCTTTATCCACTCCACCCCATTAAGTCTGAATGGATTTGGAAGGTTGAGACGGTGAACAAACCCCGGAACAAATGGACTAAGAATGCGGACAAAATGGCAGCCAAACATCTTGGCTGTACTTGTTGGTCCGAGTTCACATTCTGCATAGGCGAGCTGCAGCGATCCAGCACACAAGACCAAATAAAACAAACTGGACCCACGAGAAGGAGACATTTTAAGGGAGACGCAAAGCGGAAGCAGAGGAACGGTTTCTCAAATTGCTATGTTTCAATGAAGTTTAAATGAGTCCAAAACTTTGTGTGGTCCATGTTTCTGTGCTTGTCTAGTTTTGTTGTGGCCTCTTCGCTAAAATTAAAGCGATGGACATGCTTGTTCACAGTTCAAGAAAAGGGTTTTATCCATCTCGAACTGTGTTTTAAAGAATCTGGTCAATCTATTGACCGTCTTCTGATGGTTAATCCTGCAGCACTCAAGCTGCTGTATAACCTCGTCGGGATCAAAATAGCTGTGAGAAATACATTGGTTTGTGTTTAAATTGCTAATACATAGCTAACAGTAGTAGTTATCATCTGAAACTAGCTAAACTCATATGTGCGAGAAAATTCGCTCTTGCTTCTGAGGAAAATTCAAAGCAGCGTTATAGCTCAGTCTCGTTTTTTCCAGATAAAGCCACATTCACGCATGTCCTCTCCAGGTTCTCCGTCTTCCTGCCACAGTCCAAAAACATGACGGTCAGGCTAATTAGCTTCCCAAAATTGTCCTTACGGGTGTGCCTCTCGCCCAATGACCGCTGTGGATACACACCAAAACCCTAATCCCTGATGTCAACCCCTTTGGAGAAGTATGCAGGCACACTAATGGTTTTCCTTCTCTGTTTTCTGTTATGGCAGTATCATCAGTTTAAAGCTTACCTTAAGCCAACTTAAGCCCAAAGGAGCTCATCATGGCTCAGCCAACGTTTGGGAGGCTCATACTTTCCCACCACTTCCCACAGAGTTGGTTCTTTGCATCATTTTCAATAAATAAGTGAATAAACGTTTCACTTGTTTTTTTTCAAAATGTATTTCCATGAAGCAAACACAATAATATTTAATAATAAATATTTTTTATTCAATTTTTTTTCCACACAGACAAAAATGGCAAACATAACATGTCATACATGAAGAAACGGTTTGGCAACCATTCAAAGTAGGTGCGACACAGTTGGCTGCAACACACATACGGCCTGATTTATAGCTCCAATTTTTCCATCAAGAGGATATCCTCAATCACACAGCTCACTGAGCACTTTTTGGTTCTCTTGCTGGGAAATTGTAGAAGAGATTCTTTTTTTTTTTGTCAAAAATGCTATAAACATTTTACATTCTGAGAAACACTTGCACGCTGTTAACGGTTTTCCCAGGTAAAAAGCTCACATATTCTCTGGACTCCAAGGCTGCGCAGATGCTTATTTCACTGTGTATCATTTTGTGCCGTCGTATATCAGTTCTTAATGCGAAAGCAATACAAAAAAGAAGAGTGATTATAAGACAACATTCCTTAAGTTGGTCTATTTATTACATGAAAAGATATAAAACAAGAGCTTTACCACTTTTATGCTTTATGGTTACTGTGATATGGCTGAATAAGTAGTGGTTATACGTTTCATAAGACACTCCTTACAAGGTCTATAAATTCTCAAATTCACAGTCAAAGTCCGTCAGTCTGCACAAGATGTACTTCCACTGCCGATCTCTGAAATAAAGGAACAAGAAGAAAAAACTGTCAGTTCGACAAGCGTGTCACCTGGGGAGTTCTTGCCTTATTCACAACAAAATAATCTTCCTTCTGGCCAGGCTGCTTTTGAACAGGTTGTATCCATTCACAAATAAGTTGTTGGCGTTTTAGGCCTAACCTGAGTACTCCGCTGAATGTGGTCTGGGCCCCTCGGATGAAGTAGCCATAAGCAGGGATGACCATCTCTCCCTCCTCTCTGTAGTATTCAGGAACGTCGGCGGTCTTCCTGAGGAACGCAGCGGATGATTGTTTAACGTTTTGAAAATGTAGATACTGAAATATAACATCCGCCAACCTTCTGCTCTTACTTTACTGAGAGTTACAGGAGCAAAACAGAAACTCTGGGTTGCACTTTAATCTCGTATTTTTGGAACAATTTCAATTCATGCATTTCCTGTTACAGAACATTTCCAACTGGTGCATGTAAGTAGGGCTATTTCTTGGTAGTGCTAGTAAGTTTTGGCCTCCTCCCTTGGAAATATGTATGTCGGAAAACCAACAATGTATATCAACACACACCAAACGGCGAAACATGGTGGTGGTAACATCATGGTTTGGGGATACAGCAGGGACAATGAGCCACAGCTGTGCCATAGTTGCTCAGATCAAAGCATATTTGTGTTAGATTGGCCCAGTCAAAGCTCAGACATTAATCCTTGAACTTTGGGAAGACTTCACAATCATTGCTCACAGATGCTCCTACTTCAATTTGACTGAACTGGAGTTATTTTGCAAAGAATAGATGGAAAGTCAAATTGGATCTCTTTACAAAAAGTATTGACTCAGGAACCTGATGGGAAGTTTTAACTTTTTGTACCCAAAAATTGTAGCACTATTCCAACATATTTTTACTCAACTAGAAGTATAAAGTAGTCGTCCATGAAATTTCTTCATTAAGGGTAAAAATGTTTTTGATAAAAATGCCACTCAGTTACTGGGTAACTGATCCAAACATCAATCATTTGATATTTAAAAATTACACAATCAGACGGAGCAAAACATAAGATTAAGTGGTAATTCTGGTATACTAAGGACCAAAATGACAATAATTTATAGGAATGGCATGAATACAAATTAAAATCTATGACTCATTCTTCATTCAGTTAAGTTGCTCGCAGAGGGTAGAGTATCCAGACATTTCAATCAACTAATAATAGTGATACTTTGTGATAAAATTACGCTCGTAAGAAGTACAGTGTAGTAAAAAACAATCCTAAAAGTACTTGTTTTATAAAAAGTTGCTCAAATAAATGTAACCACTTACTATCCAATTCTGAAATCACATAGTCACAGACAAAAGAAATTAAATGGCCAACAAGGAACAGTCCAACTTTACATAACAGAATGGATGGAGGCTCTGTGGTCAAATCAATGTCCTCACTGCTTCCACTAACAAGTCACTATGACATCTGCTCAATGGCTGCACAACGCAACACTCCCAGTTCAAGCTCATTGGTCAACTACTGATACTACTGATTGGACCTCTGCTGTGCTTCTGGATGTGTGCTACATCATATCCAGACATGACAAATTCTCCTGGGTGCTTTAACCGTTTTTTTTTTTTGCCTGGAACGTATTGTGAATGTGAATGAACCTTTTCTCCCAGCCCTTTGTGCCGCACTCTTGTGGTTGCTCTCGATTTGCATCCTCTAACTCTCAAGAAAGAAGGTGCCAAAAGTGACAGGCTGCTTGCTCAGCGTGCCCGGCGTACTGTGTGCGAACGTACATGCAGGAGTACGGACAGCGGCGTTTGTAGTAGCAGCAGTAGAACTGCCATTCGCGGGGGGGATTCAAAGGTATTCGGGTACACGTGGATGTCCTGCAAAGACACAAGTTATGAGTTGCAGTTTGTTTTTGGGTTTTTTTTTTCTTCATGTTTGCTTTGGCCCCATGCAGTATCTGGACGACATCTTAGATGTACCAGAACCAGACAGCAGGAAATGCTGCGTGTGTAGGAGCTTATCGCAGCAAAAATGAATACAGCTTTCAGTCAGTCGGGGTAATTTCCTGTAGGGTAATGTTCTACCCTGTTGACTTCAATCAGCCCGCTGTGATAAAGACAGATGGGCGTGGCAGCAATTAAAACAAAAAAAAACACTTTCACAACGGAGTCCAAGTGGTGCACTGAGTTCAGTTAAGTTTAACCCAAGGTAAAAAGTTTAGGATTTAAGTTGTGCGTTTTTCTCCAAACCACACCTGTCATCAGATGCAGATATAGACTCCTTTAGGTTTTGTTTGACCGAAGCACGCCGTCGTCAGACTACAATTCCTCCTTTCAATGGTGTTTTTTTCCAAAGGGTCATTTAAATCCCTTAATTAGAAAAGCTCTCAGTGAAACTGATGGTTAGAGAAAGGTGTTTACTTTGGGTTTCGGCGTCTAAAAGTGCACACTTAAATCCAACAGCGGCTTCTTTGTTTTGAAAAGAGAATGTTTTTTAGGTATTTGATGTGCTGCTGTGTGAGAGACAGCGGGTAAAATCCCAAAGGTATTAATAAAGTTTCTATCATCTATCTTTTTCTTTTTATTAATGTACCCACTAACTGGCTAGGCTTGGCCTGGATTGTGCGCACACAATGTGTTAACACCATTCGATTTTTATGAGTGCTGTGTTGCAGAGATTTCAGGAAATGTCTAAAACCATACGGCCTATAAATCCGGCGCAAGGATTTCTAAATGGGCCTCTGACAAAGGACTCTGGACAGAGATGTTAGAATTTTTTGGACACGGCTGTGCTCCCAGGAAACGCATCGGAGGAAGATGATGATTCATACCGGGTCTGGAGGGCCTGCTTTGCTTCTCTGACGGAGAAAACGGTGACCGGACTCCAGCATTTTATGACAGCAATAAAAAAGGAACACGTGTGAAATCTGTAATGCAATTTCAGTTTGAGACAAATGAAAATGCTGCATACTGGCGCCCCTCAGGAGTTATTTGTAAATGTACAACTAATGTTAAATGCATCATTTTTATAACTAACTACAGAGATAAAGTAACCTAATGGCTGATTCTGACATATTTATTATGACATGTTCAATAACATCCTTTGTCCCTTCTTAGTTAATTATTAAAAAGTGGTCTGCTTAGAATTTGTTCAAGTGACAAATTATCACTGGTGAAAAAAATGTTGTTCTCAACATTAATCTTGTTTGTTGTTGCCAAAAATAGATTTGGAAATTGCATACCTGGTTTGAAAAGCAAAGTAAAACGTAAATTATTTCAAATGTTCTCAATATTTACTTACAGGTGTGTGGGTCACAAATATGACAAACAAATCCTTTTTAATGGGCAAAAAAATTTTTTCGAATGGGTAATATATATTTTTATTCAATAAATATTCCATTATTAAAGAAGTAATTGACATTTTTTATTGTTTTTTTTTTCAAACTGGGGATCTGCTGAGAGATTGTGACCACTCAAGAATGTTCTCGCACTTGTTACCAGAGGCTAAAGCTAACAACAAGCCAAACTGGGCCCAAGACAAACATATTATACCTTCTTAAAACAACTCCTCTCACACTCGCGCCAAGAAGACATGGGCTGGTAGTACTGACCTTACAAGGCAAGCACACACCATAATATGCTGCATTTCATGCATCAAGAGCCAGAAAGTCATAGAAACTTAAAAATTGGGCATTGTAAAAAAAAATAAATAAAATTTAATAAAATTGGATAACTTGTTTTTTTTAACAGAGGAGAAGCTCTAGCTAGTTATTTGGGAAACAACAACGCATTGATGCTAAAACGCTATCTGATATGTGTTTGGCGCCACCCTTTGACTAGGAGGTTAATAGTACACACGGTGCAGACGCATCGACTGCAGCAGGAAGTTTTACTTCATATGAACTTTGCAGCCAACAGAATACTAATGTTTAAAACTGTATTTTATGTTTGTTGCGGTTTATGTTAATTATTGTATTTAGAGTAGCACTTAGATTTCTGTAAATGTAAAGTGTGTATTAAGTAAAATGTATTATTATTAGTCGTAGTAGTGGTAATAGAGAAGCGGAGTTGCAGGTATTCGCCTCAGCTGGACCTCCGTTAAAAAAAAAAAGAGAGAGAAAAAAGTGTCATCTTTGTAAAGTTTGTTTCCAAGGAGAATTAAATTTTTTGATCAATATCTGAACCCAAGATGAGTGAAACGGAGGTTATTTTTTGTCACTTTGAATTGCTTAACCAGAATCCAAAGTCAGATCCTTCCACATATGTTTTTCATTTAGTTGAGCTTCCATTTAATTTCAACAAAGAAACATTTGATTTTTCTTCAGGATCAATAAAATATTTTTGAATTTGAATCTTCTCTTCAACTTAAACATCAAGACAAAGTAACTTGCTTTATGTCCCAACCCAGGATTTGTACCACCAATCATCGTCAACTTCAGGTTTGGTAATTTGAAATATGTGTTGTGACTTTTATCTTTTTTTTTAACAGCTAAAATGCTATTGATCATTGTTTTATATTTGTTTTATATGATCTGTTCAACTCAACTCTTCTGTATATCTACTGAGACCCTGGAGATCCGTATATTTGAATTTCAAGCACCCTACTCTCAGTGTGTGGCACCTAAAAGCCTGTCCAGCTGAAGAGTCAAAGAAAGGCAGTACCCACCACTCCAATCCGGCTCGGTTGATGTCGTCCCACCAGCAGTCGCTTGGCTCACCCATATTATCAGGTACAGGCTGGCACTCAAAAGACCACAGTCGGTCCGAGCCTTCCTTCTCACTGAAGTAGCTCCTGATGGCAACCAAGAGCTCTCCATGGGGGCACTGGAAGTTGAAGCCCTGGCGGTAACCATTCACCCAGCCCATGTCATAGTGGTCATATGGCTGAGCTGCCACTGTGGCCAGCAAAGACAAGACAGACGCCAGCAGAGCAGGATTCATGTCGACGACCAGAGTCTGTCTGCTCTACTGTCTCACAGCTGTCTCACTTTAAGCTCCTCTGAGCCCTTTTGTTGCCCAGATGTTTCGGATCCAGGAGGGATGTGTAATTTTCTGGTCGCGGGACAATTCCAAACGTTGTCCTGACCTAACTTTTTAAGGTGGACTGCGTCGCAGAACACGCACCGAGTCTTTCTGCAGATAAGGGTTTACCTTAAATCACATGCTTTTCTTGTTTAGATGTAATTCAGATATTTATGTGATGCTTTTGCCTGAATGGAAAAATGTGCTCACGTGGTAACCACCGCGATCCTCATGTGGCAGGCTTTTACCGAGTGAATATTTTAACACTTTGCAGGCATTTTAGGGGGCAGTTTTGTGGAAACTGAGTGGCAGTAATATTGACAAGACGTACTGAAATTAGATGAGCTGCAGTTAGGTTTGAAAGAAACAGCTTGGTCCATAATTTAGACCAAGATTACAGAAATTTGTTCCATTACATTACAATCAACATGTAATTATACTTCACAGTACTTTTGGACCAGGCAATGCTGAAATGTCTAAATGTTGGTTTACTTTTTAAACACACTTTTGTGTGTGTTTGCTTGTGTTTGCATGTAAGCCCCCTTTATACAAACAAAATCCAAACCATAGGTGCAAATGTATGAGGACGTGCATGCAACACTGAAGCCGTCCTTTAGTCAGAAGAACATGGGGCAAGAAAGAGTTAGCTCCGGTTGCACTGATCAACCATCATTTCCTTTGTGGTGAGACGTCCAACTCGTTCCCAAGCAATAATTGCTCCCATCAACTCTGACCAGCTTCCCTGTACATGCTGTAGAAAAGAATCCCCATAACATCATGCTGCCACTACCTTGTTTTACTGGTAGAGGATGGCACTCAAAAGACCAGTCTTTTGACGCTTAGTGTTAGTTTTCTTGGGGAGGTCACAAATTTGACCATGACTGTCTCGTGAGAGTTGGTCATGAGGAATTACGGTGAAGCACCAATGAACAAATGATCCAGCTCTGGCTAAACCAAACATATATAAAAAATTAAAACAAAATATTCACCTATGTCCTTTTTGTTCCATCCAAGAAAACCCTAGGAAAAAACCTTGGACAGCCTCCAGAGCAATGTTGATAAGTATTGGCAATTGCTGTGTTGACATCCTTGTTGCTATTGACCAGAAGCTAACCAGCTTTGAGGCCAGACTGACCTTTGTAAAGTCGTCAACAAGGAACTATCATCAGCTCTGAGAGGATTGTTAGCCAACAACAAGTGGCAAAACAGCTCCCCAACGACAAAAGGAATATCATGAAGACATGCTATGACATGCCCAATATTAAAGCGAGAAGCAAACTTGTTTTTTTGTCTTTCGATGGAGATTATGCAAGACTTCATAGGTCACGCTTTATAGAGCACGACCATTTACTATAAACCGGTCAAGAACCACTGTACCAAAATTTGGGAACTTTAAATAGAAAGAGTTGAGTTGACTTAAAAGCATGTACTGGTGTGTGAATGACAAGTTCCCGATGTAGATCTGTCAGCTAGCTTTTCTTTTGATGAGGTAGACTTATCGCCGAGTGAGCATGAAGGGTAGCAACTGTAGACGGAATAGTTAGCTGTTCACATAACACCAATTCACAATAAATGTCATCCGAAGGTACTTTATAAAAAAATATATATATAAATTCAATCACAGTTCACAGTAGTTTCAGAAGTTTCTAAGGAAAACCAGCAGATTGCAATTTTGAAAGTTATTAGAAAGGCATAGGAGAGTGTCAAAAAAAGAAAAAACAATGGCATTAAAAAGTGATCGCAACATAAACAAGTTTTGTGTTTAGGAATGCGTGTGTCCAGGTGACGGTCCAGTCAAATGCACGATTCCTTCGTCTTGAGAGCAGAAAGCAACACAAACTACAAAAGAAAAAACCCAAAAGGACGAGCCAAGAGAACAGCAGGAGAGGACAAAAGCAGGGGACCGCAGAACCCACAATACAAAACCAAGAGAGGATAACATGGTAGTTTGTCATTTTTTGATGAGTTCATTTTCTTCCTCCTGGTCTTTTTCACTGAGCTCTCTAAAAATGCATCTCTGTGCCGATTGTAATTTTTCCTTCTTTGTTATAGTTTCTAAAATGCTCTATTGGCTTTAAGATAAAGAGACTTTCAATTTAAAAATGTAGGCTGCCTATTGTAGCATAAATAACGTAAAACTAAATCACCTCAGCTTAAAAATACAGTCCTTCTTTTCCGTTTTCTTCAAAAGTTATCTTTACCTGAATGCTGCTTTTACATGGAAATAAAACTTAGCTATGCAAACATTAGCTTATCTAGTTAGCTGGTGTTCACATAAGTAATGAAGCTTCCCTCTTAAAATGGAAAAAATTATAGAATTTATAACTTTAAGAATAAGAATGACAAAATACCTGGAGTGTTTCAATTTTTTTTTTTCACTCACTTCTGAGAAATCCTTTAATCTCCATGGCAACGACTCAGCTATCCCAAAATACCTGGATGTTGGACAAGGGATGTTGTGATGACTTCCTGAAGGCGGAGTTTCAGAAAGAGCAGGCGTACTTAAAGAGACAGAGGCCCAATTTCAATTATGAAGTCAAATTTCTTTTTAGTCATATTTGATATAGATGTTTTAATAAATGAAGGTAACATAGTTGCATAGTCGTGGTATAAAATGGTGCTGTGTAACATAATACTGCCCCTTTAAATATGCTTCTGTAGAGTCTCTGTCATCCAGAACATGACAATCCTTTGTGAAAACATTTTGCCCCATCCAAAACACTTCTTCATTATTTCAACTGAAGAAGTCTTTTGGATTCTGAATTTAAATAGATTAAATTAAGTTAGTTTAATTTAATTACGCTTTTAACCATCATGTTAAATTGTGTTGGTTGTCTTTAAGCAAGGACAGTAAGGTCAGCACTGTTACTCTATATAGTGCAGTATTAACCTTTTTGACAGTGACATCTCTTTTGCAATTTGCACATTTTATCATCCCACTTTGGAAGCACTCAGCTGCAGCAGCAGATGACCTCCCGTTAATACTTCAAACACGATGTTCCTTCCTCCTAATCATGTTTCCATGTTGACTGATGACGACAGGAACCTATTTGATCGCCGCGCGCCTGAGAATCTGATCTCGTGTGAGAGATCATCCTCGAAGTAGCTAAAAATAAACGGTAGCACTGCTTAAAGAATGGTGTCTGTGAGTCACTGCAAGAGGAGTTCCACAAACGTCAAAATGGAGCAGATACGGGGGAGGTATTTTTAGACGCCTCCGCCGTCTATTTAAAATTCCTCTATTTAGAGCAGTTCTGGTCACCATTTGAGAATTTAGGGCTCCATTAAAAAATAAAAAAATAAAAAAGCACTTTGATCTGACTCTGACATCCTAGCTTCTGCGAGCCGGAGATCACGCTGCAGAGGAAGCCGGGCCTGTAACTGGAAGCCGCCGCCGTGGTGTCCTGATCGCCTTGCTGAGATCCAACCCTGTCAAAAATGCAGCTGATCTGGCAAATGAAAACACAGCGTGACTTTCAAAGTACACAAAAACAAGCAGATGGAAGTCTAGCTCAGATGTCCACTTGCAGCCTACCGACTGTCAGGTGAAGTTTTCGAGCTCTTCGTCTCAGCTGTGCATAAGTGAATACCCATCTTTGCTGAAGGTAAATATTTAGAAACTACAGGGCACATCTGCTTTTCGTCACGTAAAACCCAGAGCTGAGATACTGCTGGCTTCGTGTTAACACTCAGAGGGGCCTCGCCGAACATCTTGCACCTCTTAAGACACTTTCACACGATGTCAGGTGAAAAAAGCAAAGGAAGTAGGAAATACTTTTACATACACCGCCTCAAAATAAAAATTTAAAGGGAAGCGTTCCACTTAAAATACCAAGCTAATACTGGACGGACCCCTCACAAATTATTTCTGTAGCATCTCCAAATGCACTTAGACAAAGATTAAAGGCGTCCACTTGACTTGTAAGCGCACAATAAACTTCGACACCTTTGCGCTCCGCCACAACGTTTGATGTTCAGATGAGTCAGATAAGATCCTTCCTGTTCATACAGGCAGCCCTTGAGCATCTGTGTACAAGGACGTGTTTAAATACAGTCATGTTCAAAGGCCTCGTGTACTTAGAATTAGCTTCCCGAAAGAGACGTTTTCTTTGTTATCCGTCAACACGGCTGTCAGGCTTTCTGAAGGTCTTGCATGTCTTGTAGCGTCGCAACCCCAAATGCGAATGCATTTTCTTGCACTTTCATGCAATGACCCAACATTGAGTTGTGCGTTATTGTAAAATTTGTGATGAAAAGCTGCTAAAAAAAAAATTTTTCCCTTGCAGTAAAGCGCAATCCAGTGCAACCGACTGCCTTTAGAAATCACCTAATTAGAAAATATTAACCACCAACACTGAGATGCAGAATTTAATCTCATTATTAATCCAACTATTATTATAATAAAGGCCTTAGAAGATTGTTGAGGAACATTAGAGAACAAAGAGCATTATGAAGACTAAGAAATAGAGCAGTTAAATTGTGGAGCAGGTCAAATTAAGGTTACAGGCTATAGAGCTTTGTTCAGTTTTGGAGCTTCTGACAAAGATCTTATAAGTCAGTCATGTAAAAGCAGAAAGAGTGTGGCATAACGCAAACCTGTTAAGAAACGGCCAAGTATGCCATGGTACTAGTAGCCCCAAAAGTTATTAAAAGCAAGCTGATTTACTGTAATTCTATTATTGTAACAGTAAAAAGATATGGCAGCATAGAGTTAAGTGAGTGGGGTCATTCACTCTGTAAACAAAAAATATGTCAAACAGGTGCTCCCTATTTAAGGTCTAGCGGCAGATAATGTTTTACATACATTCCCCTCAGATAGTCTGAGTAAAATTGATCATTTCACATATAAGAACAAGGATATTCTTTGATGAAATACTTCCCTGACTAGAAAAAATATGTATTTATGCCCAGAAAAGGACAGGCTGCTGAGGTACACTGATCCCAAACGCTTTGGCATTAAAACTCTGAACAAACTCCAAGCTCAAAATGCTGAAAACCCAGTCATTGA